GTGGCACATCATACTAAAAACTGACAAATTACAAACAGGATGTGTAATTTTAAACTTCTTGGGACTCTTCCACAAAGGGCAGATTTGAGTGCTTGATATTATCTTGTGCTCTAAAGGAAAAGCCCTGTCAACAAGGAATAATCAATGGATCATTATCTATACCTAAAACTAATACGTTCACAGTGATTTAATGAATTTAGTGTAAATCAGTAAAACAATTGAGACAATAATTTTCGTTACAATCACTGAGTCTGGGGTTGGCCATTTTTGCCAAAAAATTGTAACACCTCACTCCTGATATCTTCCAGCAGTGACATCACAGAAATCAGTGGGAACTACTAGACACATCTGCCACAAACAGTTATTTAAGATTTTGAGAGGACTTTGCCATTGAAATTCGCGAGAGCTATAGTTAAAATGACGACGCCCACGTGCATGGCAGTAGGATGTTGTAATACAAAATATAGCTAAAAGTGAAAAAATAATTATTGTTTCACCTTTCCAATTCATGATCCACCACAGACGGGTTTGTCGTTGGATGGCGAACTTAAAGAGAGAGGATTTGCTGTCGAACTTCTGGCCAGAGAGAAAACCTGTAATATTTAGCAAACATTTCGAAGAAGAATGTTTTCAAGATAACTTGGATAATAGCTCATTGTGACAAACACAAGATACAGCATTGGGACTTGATCAACAGCCGATACCGCACCATGACGTCACAAACCGTTAGGTGGCAGTAGTGTTCTTTGACAAACCTGGATGCCTTCAGTAAAGCATATTCAAATGAAAATTACTCCTAATTAAAAAACCCTTATCATTTATTGAACTGTATCTAATAATTTAATCTTTAAAGTACCTACAGAAGTTTGAATTCTGAATTTGACCGGACTTTTCCTTTAAACAGATCTTACCACCTGAGCAGTAGATCTTTGTACCTCCTCTAGCATTACCATAGGCTTCCTGCATGTTTGTTATGCTCTTTTTCTCAGCCAATTAAATCCGATTGATGATGATGAGGTTTTTAGTTGTTCCACACTCTTTCCAGTTTTTATTATATATTCTTTGAAAAGTTAAAGCTTGAGATATTCTTTTAACAGCTTACAGCTAGAACTTTAACCTTGACCTGTATGCCGTGTTCCTTAGTCTTTAAATTGATGGTGGTGTTTGTTTACCAATGTTCTCTAACCAGCCCACTCAGAGAACATTTATATTGTATTGAGATCAAATTCAAACAACGGTGGATTCTATTAACTCTTTAGGTTTTTTTTTAGTTCATTTGTCTTTGTAGGGGTCGGAGAAGAGGGAATGCATACAATGCAATCTTAAGTACGAAAATAAAATCTATCATAAAGCTGAAGTAAAAGGATGCCCTTTCCTCTCACTTTACAATTGTACACCTCTTTGTGTTGCTATATACCATAAAATCTCAACAAAACAGTCTTCTGTTCAGAAAAATGTAAAAAAAAAAATTCCCACAGTAAATACTTTTGCAAGGCGCTGTTGCTCTTGGATAGGAATAGCCGTAGGGAGTAAGCTGCACACCTCCAACCTCTTAACGACGTCATCAAGCCTTGTGACTGCGTCCTACCTTTATGTGGAAAACTACTCGTGCAGTTGCATGAAATCAGAACACGGGCACTCGTGGCATGATTGCTCATGACAGAAAAAAAAAGCCAAACATTGACTAAATTAAACACCTAGGCTACACTGTAAACATCTGCACCAATTACTCCTCCTGTCTTATTCCTGACAAAGTGGTTGCTCAGGGGAGTGTTTGCCAGAGGATTAGAGCTTGCTTGCTGTCACCCCACCACCTCACTACATATGGGAATCACCCTGGTTTCCTGCGTACATAATAGTGTTGACAAAGCTGTGTCAATGCACAGATCGTTGCAGGGGAGGCTGCTTATTGTACGCGGAGTAAAGAGCCTTCATTAAAGTGCGTGTGTTTAGATACCAGCTAGTATAGAGTCAGCACAAAATGGGATGTATTCACATGTACTGCATCCTCTCTAACCTTGCCCACTTGAACACACTTTGGCCAGTGCACACAATCTGAGTCAGCAGAAACAGGAGCTTGGAGACACTTCTAATGAACCCAGGTGTTATTTTTCAATTTACCTCTTGCCTAGGCACAGGAACTCCTCTAAATCACTGCTTCGGTTACACAAATCCCTCCATTAAAAGCTGACTTTCTTATTATCTATCATTCACTCTGGATCTCTGCTTTCCTTGGTCATGCCTCAGTTCCAACACCGACAAATCCATGATGAGGTATGAGCAACAGCAACAAAGATCTACAGTAACAGACACATACCAGCTCTACACATTTCTGTAGCGTCTATCAATCTGTCAGTGAGCAGCAGGTAGATAAAGCATTGCTATGTGGAGCAGACTGTCCAGAAGAGGGCATCATTACTGTAAGATATCCAGTAGAAAAGAAAATGCCAATTTTGTGCAACTATTAAGGTAATCAAAATTTTTTTTATATAAAAATCATAAGTTATACCTAAAGAAAAAGTTAAGAGAATTTGTGTAGAAATTAAAGGCATACATTTTTACACTTTATTTCACCAAACAAGACAAATTGAAAAAGTTAAAGTTTTCATTTAACAATGAAATAAAGGAGAGCAAGACTCCTGTATCTAGCAACATTGGTTGAAGATTTATCTTGGATTCTCTGAAACTATACTCAATATTACATCATGGATTAAAAAAACCAAAAGCTCATTCCTTAAAAAATGAATTAGTCCTTATGTTTAGCAAGTGATAAACTGCAATTTTCCTTTAAGTAGCTATGGTAAAATTAATTCAGCAACAAAGTGGAGTGAAATCCTGTCAGTATCATTACGGCATTGTGGTATATTATGTTATATTCCCTAATTATTATTCAATGAGGCAGTGACATTTAAAAAAAACTGAATGATTTTTTTTTTTTTTTTTTTTTTTTTTTTTTTTTTTTTTTTTTTTTTTTTTATGCTCCAGCGACTCATTAACTCCAACATCCAAGTTATCTGAATGATCATTCAAATAAATCATGCAAGCATTCAGGTGTACAGAATTCAAACTTGCTCATTGTATAGCAGCTTTACGGTTTTTCTACAGAATTTGAAGCTGGGCTTTTGGCAGTGATATGGGGACATGTTTCCATATATTATGTGATCATTTTATTGAAGGTGCATCTCCAGGCTGACCATAGCGCGTCTCCGCCTCCAACACGCAGCTTTTCCTCTCCCTTTCTTCCTCCTGATGCCTCGCCTGTCCTATGGAGGACAAAGAGGCTGAAGATACCGGATGACACAGAAAATCCATTCTACGTCGTCCCGGCAGACAGGAAGTCACGACGCACTTTCTGACCGCCGTGTGCGCAATTACAGAGAAAAAACTCCTGACTTGCGACGCGCGTCGGGTCGAGGCAACGTTTGGTGTCGCACGCAGCCGCGCTTGGGAGAGCTACGTGTCCGGCCACACACGCTCACCCAGCAGTGCTGCCTTTGGAAGGAGAGGCGCGCGACGAGGGGTAAAGCTGCAAGACTGGAAAATATGTGCGCCCTCATCAGCTGGAGGTGTGGCGCTCATTACGTCGGTGCGCCCCTAAAATTAGATTCAGTATACACATCAAGAAAAAATATGAAATTAAAAATAGTAATATAAAGTAAGCTTAAAAATAAGAATAGGCTTTTTCATTGATTTGCATCTAAATGCATCAAAAAGTAATTTCTTGTTTCCTAATACACATTGTATAATTCAATATGGAAAACGAGTCTGGTGCTTATGAATGAATCTTAAAGGGATAGATCTGATTTTTATTTTTTTATTTTTTTTTAGCATAGTTCTGTAAATAGATTACATATAAATGTTACATTACTTGCAAATGCAGTCAGCAATTGTTATAGAAGCTTTCTGTTGGTTTAAATTCCGGTTTACAAACCTTAAAATTGTCATTCCTTTAAAAAGTTTGATAATAGGAAATTAAGATTGGAGGCAGACAATCGTCCATACTTGAAACAGACCCTGTAAACCATTTCAAGGTAAAATCTAGGTCAAAACATTTACCTATTATCAGTTCTTTTTCTTTTTTCAGTGTGTTTTACACACACTTGTTAAGTGTTAAGTGGTAACTTAACATATATATGTGTTTTCTTTTTTTTTTATCTGACAGTTTCACATGTGCTTTTTTTTCAAGATTCACATTGGAAACACCCTCGGTCCTCCGTTTGCTTCTCTTGTATGCAGTCTTCAGTTTTTTATGTCACTTACAGTCCAATACAAACATAGGATGGTTTTACTGTAAAACAGCATTGGCAAAAACTGCAATGACATTTGAGTTTGGAGCTGTTTTAAAGTTTTTAGAAGTTAAGTGTGGCACATTTTAGAGCAACCCTATTTCTGAGTGTGAAAGTTATAAATCCCTAAGCAGCCTGACTAACATAAATGATGCAATACTTGTAAAGCATGGTGAACCAACACTACAGTACACTTCTGCTGTCTCTTTTTTTTTTTTTTTTTTTTTTTGGATAAGGAGTTAGCTTTTCCTTTTGGGATCAAGTAATCTTGACAAAAGATGCATTTTGTTTTTACCCAGAAGTCAGATTTTAAACCCACTATTAACATGTATTTTTTTTAACACTTATGAACTTTTATATCATAGTCAATCTCTCTGGAAATGTTTGGACATTGGATTTTTATAGGTGTTTAACTTATGAGGATTACAGGTAGCTGACCACCTCTCACTTTTATTATAGTCACATGAAATAGAAGGATCAAGCAAGAAGAATAGATGTAATTAATTGATGATTGACTCTTTGAATTAAGCCTTAATGTTGATAATGTCATAACCTTAAAACTTTGGTCACTCACAGATAATGAGTAAAATAAAAATAGAGCCAAACATCGAAGCGCATCAGTTTTAAAATATCTTTTGCTTGTGATACTATGACGCGTTAGAAGCCTTTAAGTAAAAGCAGGGAGAGCTAGACACCACCCACCCAGGAACCTCCTCCAATCATACGGGTGCCCAGGCGCTGCTCAGTCACAGAACGGTGAAATCGAGAGAGGGGACAACACGCTGTTTGCCCCGCCTGGCTCACTGTAAGGCAATGACACCGGGATAAAACACCCGAAGCAATTTCACTAACTTTTACTTTTGTTTTCTGTACCTGGGAAAATTTCCAATCACAGATCTCATCTTTTTCTTTCTTTTTTTTTATTTTATTTTCTATATCCCACGGTGAACGTCAAGCGGCTCCAAGGCTTCAAGTTACACATATAGGAGCAGGCTGCAAGTTTCAAATGGGCAGACCTTTTGCGGCTACTGGCTCACAAGCATGGGATTATTCGTCCAATGTGGCGTGAAAATAAGGATCTGCTGTTGAACGATGTGAGACGTTGCGCTTCTTGGATTCTCGCGTTTCTGGATATCTTGAAAATCATTGGCAACAGTTGAAAAGAGAAGGGAGCATTTTTAAAGGAAAAAGGATTGTGTACACTCATATTGGGACCAGCTATGGATTTACTCCCCCCGAACCCTGTTTTCTGAGAAGTTATCACTTGTTCTGTTTCTTTTTTTTATTTCTATTATTATTATATATATTTTTTTAAAGAAAGTTTTTGCTGAAGAACAAATAGCCGCATCGGCTATTTAAAGTTTTGGAACCCGTCGCTCAGCCCTTGCTTTATATTGGACTGGATTTCAAACACCATGAACTTTATTGACAGTTTGACACTATTATTTTTGACACTGTCAGCTGTCAAGGTGAGTTTGTCCTTTTCCCTCTGTGTGAAAATCAGAACCTAAAAGCAAAAGGAAAATATAAATGTAGCCTGATTGTCACTGGTCATTAATATGGAAAGCTGTCCGTGACTTTCGTCTGTCTAGGTCACAGATAGTGTTTAAACAAGCTGAAATGTTTAGAGGCTCCTTTAAACAGTCATTACGCAAAGCAGACAAGGATTGATCTCGGGTGGTTTTCTTTGTTTTGTGTTTTTCTTCTTTTTTTTGTGATTTCTCATCCAAATAAGGAGTAGGTGATTTTTTTTAAAAGATTGGGTTGTGGAGTTTGACGTGAGGGTAGAAAGTAGGCCTGCACTGGAACCACATTGGAGATAAGATTTCGCTTTAAAGGCGCAGCGGCTCTTTTCTGTGAATCAGGGGCAGGTTCACTCCCGGTGGCTCGGAGGCAAAATCGGGTTTTGTTAAAAAAAAAAAAAAAAAAAAAAGAGAGAGAGAAAAAAAAGGGGAATAGGTTCATATATAATCATTAAACAGAAGATCAAAATGTTTCAAGGTGAAAGTAGAGTGAAGAGGAGTGGGGGGAGTCCATTTTTCTGCGCCTTGATTGGACTTAAAAGCATTATTTCCCTTTAATTCTCCTCATTTCTTTTTTTTTATCACCTTATTTCCAATTTTGCTCCAGATTATTGTAGAGAGCTTGATCCACCAAACAGATTGTCGATCTGCTTATTCATCATAGCCCGGTTAAATTGTGCGTGTTCGCAGCTTGACACTCATATCTGTGTTTTTATGGGGGTGGATGATGTTGGATTTGGGGTGACGGTGGGGGGGGACTCCCTCTGTCTCTTTCTCTCTCAGCCCATAAGGTTGGACCCTCTCACGCCACCAGAAAGGGGGTGGGGCCTGAATGCACACAAGCCGTTTCCCCCTTTTTTTTTTTCTCTAAACTTTTCATTAACGAATTGAGTCTCATTGAGCGCATGCCGGTTGAACAGGAGCAGCGTCTCGTGCAATGTTGGCGAGGTATTGCGCGAGATGAGAGCGCGGGTTTTCTATGTGATCGAGAGGGGGGGTGTCAAAAAAAAAGGGTGTGTATTAGGTGACAAGACCGTACGCATAACGAACACATAGAAAGTTGCCAGAAGAAAAATGCGGTGGCCCCTCTGTTGTGGTGACAGCTACACCCAATGAAGAGCAGGCAGACATTTCCCATGCATTTTAATGGCAAAGGTTATTATAAGGTGGTTGGAGGTTTGGAAACTGGAAACCAAACCAACGCAGTGGTTCCAAAGTTTATGAAGTTTTGCCACGTAGTTGAGGGGGATTAACTTCCTATCAGTCATAAAAACAGTAAATTCTACCACAATATAATAATTTATTAGGAAATGCCATTCAAGTGTAAAATTGAGCTGAATAGGCAATGATAGGGTTATCTGACCTTCAATCTACTTTAAACTAGATTGTGTTAAAAGTGCAGTTGGTTCAAGGCTCTTACTGAATTGTTTTAAGAACTGGGCCTTAGTCTTTTCCAGTTAGTCCAAACCCAAATCATGGCCATTTATATCAATAGTACATTTTCCAGGCTTGATTGTGTGCCTGTTGTGCTCTTAATTCGCTTAGTTTCTGGTCTAATAACAGTTAAATCAACTACGACAAAATGTCTGTAACTTGAATGGTTGCAATATATTGCTTAGTATATTTGCACCTAGAGTACATTTGCATGTATTGTTTATTGTACCTGAATGTATATGTTCTTTTTTAATTATTCTTAATTCTGGAGCCTTTAGATCAAATTTAAGAGCAAATGTAAGCACATGTTTAAGTTAGAGGTGGAATAAGTGCTTTTATGACAGGGTCGCTAACCTACAGCATAGTTCACTTATACCTTGGGCTGGCTCTGCTGAGCACTTCTAAGAAGGCTATTTCCAGACTAGATAAAGACAAGAACTGATTTCCAGTGATTAAAGGGCATGTTAAAGTAATATCTGTCTGTATGCTGTTTCATATGTAAAAGATAAGTTTACTACCTTCTTAGTTACTGAAACCAGGACTTGTCCACAATATTGTCCTTGGTGGTTTTATTTTTCAGCAATGTTCACCAGAAATGTCAAAATGCAAACAGATTTTTTTGAATGACATGATAAGTAAACGGCAATAGCAGGCTGTTTTTCTTTCTGATGTCCAACTCAATCTACTGTACCTAACGGCAATCTTTCTTCTTCCCTCCTTACAGAGTGCCCACATACCGAGGGAAACAGAGAGAGGTCCACATGACGGTAGGTGTCCCACAGGGCACCGTGGGAATACAGTCTGTGCTGGGCTCCCTGCTTGGCTTGTAGCCAACAGTTGGGAGGGCTGGTTTGAATTTCACCTTGACATTAAACAGGAAATTATCACCCCCTAGTGGAAGACCAATGGACCCTAATCCTTTAGTTCCCTGATAAGTTTTTCTTCAGATTCAGCTTTTTATTTTTACAAAGGCAAAATCCAGCCTCTAAACTGAATTTGCAGCATCCAATCCCTCTTGAGGTTAACCTGGTAAAATTTTATGGTCACCAGAGTCTTTTGTAGAAAGGAATGTCACCCTCTTGGCCCTGGAAAAAAATCTTTTTGCACAATCCCAGCATTGACAAATCTAATTTGAACAATCATAAGCCAGGCTTCATGATATTGCTCAGGCACAAAATGGTTGATTTAGTTCCCCAGAGGGCCAGTGGCCTCTGAGTTAATTCAGGCTTGGTTATGGCCTCTGCAATGTTTCAGAGGTGTTGTCAGTCCATGTCCTAATATCTTTCACAAGAGCAGGACTCCTGCAAAGACCACAAGGAGGGTGGGGGGTAGACTGAAGGCTCTGCAGCATGTAAATGATAGAGGAGAACTGTAAAAAAAATTATGCCTAGGTTTGTGTTGAACTCATATACTTGTTAATGTTTATGACAAATTATGTAAGCGCTCGTAAAGTGGAGCAGTTGGTGTTTTCTTATATAAACCAGGTACTTTTAAGTAGACAAATATGATTTAAAACCATTCCAATTCACACATGCCTGCATTTTATTTAGCTTTTATCCAGATGTGTGTGTCCAAGTTTATAACTCTGGTCCCTTTGCCTTTGTCTCCACAGTGATCCCTTTGTTGGAGGTTATCAACAAAAGTTCGTGTCAGCCCCGGGAGGTGCTGGTGGATATCTTGCAGGAGTACCCGGATGAGGTGGAGCACATCTTTATCCCATCCTGCGTGGTACTAAAGCGCTGCGCCGGCTGCTGCCTCGACGAGAAGATGCAGTGCTTCCCGACAGAAACTCGTAACGTCACAATGGAGGTCAGCAACCTTATGAACAACATTAACACTGACATGTTTAACATTTTTAGTTAGTTTTTGTTTTTTTACCCAACAAAGCTTGGTATTTTAAATCCACCCTTTGCTATGTCCATGTGTGTTAGGCTAGAAGGGTTCTTAAGCATCATGCAAAGAAAGCTGAATTTTTCCATCAGTTTGTTTTTCTTTATTATCCCATAAAATGTTTACTAAACAAAATATATCAGAATTAATCTTTTGAAAAGAATCCTATGTTTTTAAATCTGTTTTCCTACCGTGTGATAATATTTGCACCTCCCTGTTCTGATCTACAGAGCCTCCTTTTAAAAAGGATGGTTCAGGATTTCTTTGAACAAGCTTTTGTTGCTAATGTTATTAGTAACAATACCCTTATCCGTAACGACAATTTGTAAAAAAGTTCATAGATTATGCTAGCAACAAGCCAGACAGAACTTCTGATTTGACCAAATCAAAGTAATTCACACTGAAACTAGTATAATGTGTTGTACAGAAGGCGGCAGTGGCTATAGACCTGCACTTTTAGGAAAGAATGTTTAAGACTAAGTTAGTCGCCATTCTCAGTCTGTTACTGTGGTAATGTTGGCTAAAGCCACCATCTGTATCAGCCCTACCTTATCAGCTGATCATGGGTCAAACAACTACAAGACCTGGAAAGCACCAGCTTTGATGCCATTGCGTAACTGATGGCACAAAAATCCCAAATTTAACTCATTTCCTTATGTGTTCATAAGGTTGACTGTTGCCGCCCACAGCAGCTTATGCATTGCAATGCAGAGGCTTGGCTAAAAAAAAACAAATCGAAGCCTAATTGTGAAAGTGTAGATGATCGATAGTTGCTAATAGGACGTTGCATCAGACATATATCAACATTTTCAGATTGATTCTATTTAATAGCAAAATCAGACATGTTTCTACCAAAGGCAATGTTACTTAACTGATAACTTTAATTATTAAAATATTCCAAAGCGTTCCTCTAATATCCATGTACGTGGAGAGAACCTCACATTTTCTCCCTCATTACCAGCATTGATAGTAATTTAAAATTGGAGTCAGAATTATTTTAAACACTCTGAAAATAAAAGTGTTTATACCTCTTAAACTATCCCCTCTGGGTCAATATAATGCTGCAAGTGTTGTAGGTATGTCTCTACCAGCTTCTATGTCCCCACACTAAGGCATCAACTCAACAGATCCACTGTGTTAATGCTAAAGTACTCAAAGATGGACTCATTTTACACATTAGGAGATTTTATGTAGGGGTCTGAGATTCTGAGACAATCAAAATAGTGTTTGTTCAGCTTTTTTGTGTGTTTCTAAGTGCTGGTCTTTCAAAGTTATAAGAGAATCAGTAAATATATAACTGATTATTGTTTCAACATGATGAAATGTAAATATAAAAGGTAAAGTGTGAAGTACACACTGTAGCTCCTGACTAACGAAAATCTCCCTTCTTGTTTTACAGATTAAAAGATCAAAACCTCTAAGGCAACAAAATGATGTTTTCATGAGTTTTACAGAACACAGCGCATGTGAGTGTAGGTAAGAAACTTCGAAAAACACACACACACCCATGCACATACACAAAACATTGCTAAAAGCAAATTACAGCACCATTGTGCAGCGAAGCCGAGGTCGGCCAGACGCAGCATATGAAGTTATTGTTTGCAGCTCGCCCTCTGACACATTCAATAGATGCTAATCATGCAGATTTATATCTTATCTTGGCTTCTTCCACATGGCTGGGCATTTTTAAAGAAAAGCCCTGAGCAGGTTCAAACACATTGTGAATTTATCATCATTCCAGAGCATAGCTGTAGCTCTGTAGCATTTAACAGGTTCTACCTGGAAGCATGCAGTGCCCCCTGCTGAGATCAGTGTAACATTTGATATCTACGAATTCCTTTTTGGATCACTTCCTGAGTTAGATAGAGTTAGAGTATGCACATCTAGTACAACAATAAAAAATGAGTGAAATTTACAGATGACATAACCAGGAGCTTGATCATCAAGCAAAAACTGCATCATTTGATCTATTGCTATTAGAAACAAACATGACCGACCATCTTATCTGAAATGTTCATGTGACCATTAAACAGAAGAACATTAATAAGACTTTCCAGCTTATCTAATGTGACTAATTTATTGTATGTGCTTAGCTCTGTGAGAAAAAAAAAATGTTCAGACTTGAAAAATCAAATATAGCTGTGTCTAAAACTGCAAGAAACATCGTCATCTTAAACTAATGAAAGCTGTAACTGTACTAATCATTAACAGCTCTCTCTTCTCTCATCAGACTTCTGCTGTTTACTATTAAAATCTCTTTTTTTCCACATTCTGATTATAATGTTAGTAGGGGTATGAGTTATGACATAGCAGCTCAGAGGGGACATGCCTCCTCCTCCCACATTACAGAGATATTTTAAAAGAAAACAAACAAATCGGGTACTTTATTTTGCTGACCAAGGTTCGAGATGAATTACCCAATGGTTGCTTTACGCCTCGTGTTTGCATAGTTAGTTGAAACTGGAGTCTGACGTTGTTGATTTGTTCCTAAGAATTATTACTATAACTAGCCTTTAATGTAAAGCCCTACTATGGAGATTTAGAGGCTCCAATTGGTTACAGACATGGATTTCTTTTTAATGAATTTAAATTATTTTCAGCCAGCATTGCACAAAGCATTCAATGAGAGATTGTAGTTGGCGGATTTCCTTTAAGCCAACTTAATTTTTTTTCATTCCTGTTAATCAAGTGCATCAAAACTAAGAATTTTTAGCACAAACTGACGTTACTGAAATGGATGCACTCTTTTTGTTTTTTGTTAGTAAATCAGCAAGTGAAGGAAGCTAAAAATTCTTTATTTGCTGTTGGATGCAAAAAGGCCCCCTTTATCCAAGGTTAGCACCTCTTGTTTGTGTTATAGTTCTTACAAAAAACAAACAAAACAAAATAATTAGCGGTTAGATTTAAAAGAAAACTAAAACATTGCGTTGCCCTGCGATGGACTGGTGACCTGTCTGGGTGTACCCCGCCTCTCACCCATAGACAGCTGGAGATAGGCACCAGCACCACCGCAAACCCAGCTGGGATAAAGCGTGAAAGAAAATGGATGGATGGATGAAACATGGCATCAGTCTCAAAAATTGGTGCATGAGAACAAACGATAATAATTATTGCTTCTGTCGAATCTTTACCTTAGCAGGCAATCAAATCCATCCGCTATAGAGGAGGACAGCATACTAGAACTTTTATTATAATCATTGTTCTAATGCTATAAAAAGCCACAAACACCAGCAGATAAAAAAAGTGAAGTTTTCATGTGTTATTGATCATCCTTATTGCATTGACAAAGTCATGACTTTTATAGCCCTTAAAAATTTTTTTATTTCATTTAAAAGTATTCCTAATGGTATTTCATGCCTTTTGGAAGTGGTCCAACGTTTCATAGATTAAGTATTTCTTCTTAACAGTAGGTATCACATTTCAGGTTTTAATAGAGTATTTTCCATCTTATCAACGTTATAAGTCTTCAACGACTCGGCCAAGTTCCTTTAAACACAATAAAGAGATGTTCCAAGGCCAAAATGAGAACCTGGTAAATTTCAGTGCAACTGCATATCAGTTGGTTCCTGCAAAATAAAACACTGGCCTTGGTAAGGCTTCCAGACACAACAATGAGATACCCTCTGTCTAACAGGAATCTTGCAAAAGTTTGTCAAGCCAAAAGTTGGCCATGAGTGCGAGACCATCTCGAGGGAAACACTGTTTCCTAACTTTATTGGCAGAGTGCTGCCCGGCGAGGTTGCCAGCAGAGTTATTGCTCCACACTCTCTTATCGGCAAGAGCTGTCACATGAACAAAAAGTGAAACAAACTTCTTAGCTCTCAATTGCGGACGTGTTTGTATGTGTGTATCCATCAAACAACACAACCCCACGTGTGCCTGTGTCGACAGTGATCTGCTTTATTTCCCAACTTTGTTTCATTTACCAAGCTAAGTATTTGAGAGCTAGCTTTAGCACCATTTCTTGCAAATGTCATGGCAGTGATGTAACATGATTTGAGAAGATTAAAGTGCGTCAACCGCTGCTAAAAAAGAAAAATCAGCCAAAGGCCTTTGATATGCATCTGTTTACCCACTGAACAAGAAACTTATTGTGACCTAATATTTTTTTTTTGTTGTTTCTTCTTTTTAGGGTAAAGCCAGAATTCAGAGAAAAGAAAGAAAAGTGAGTACTGCACTTTGCTATTAATGGAAATTGGGATATATTAAGGGAGGGGTTGGGAAATTAATATTTCTTATTGCATTGCAAGTTCTCTCTCTTTAAATATCTGTATTATCGACAGAACTATAAACTTTCAATTGATCTGCCTTTTAATTTTTCCTGCCTGTTGATTTTTTTTATATTATTAAAATGTCAGATACAAACACACAACACTCCATAACCATAATTTTATACTCCCATTGGATGAGATACATGGGATTATCAGGGATTAGCATGCTGTGGTTAGTTGATAATTGCTGGGAATGCAGACTAAATCACCAGGTGAATGACTGCCTTGATGAGGCCATTGCCCTTTCTCACACCTCTTTCTTGCTTTTCTATCATATATTTTACCATCCTCCCCTTTAGCCTCAACCTGTTTACATCCCTCTTAACTTCTGTTACTCCCGCTTCTAATTGCTCTGATACAGATAAGTGTTTTTGAAGTGCTGTTAAGCTGTTTGGTTCACGGTCCGAGCTTTAGTGATCCTCCCCATCCCATGCCACACCAGTCGCTGTTTTAACGGTCATCAAGGCTCTTTAATCCTCTCACTGCGGGTTCTCGTTAATATTTTTCCATCGTGCAGCTGTTGGTGTCAGCCGTATTTTGGTTTTTATGTCAGGTCGTCTGTCATATAGATAAGGCGCGGCTTTGAGACCTTCTCTTTAACCTTGTCTCAACTGTTTACAATTCTGGCATTGGTGTATGTCGACAAAGTGATGATGCTGGGGGTCATTCAACCTCTGCTTCTGACGTTTTCAGATGTTCATTCTAGTTTTATCGCCTCCTGCTAACCTCTGCAGAGGTCCCGGAGTCTATCAGGATGACTCATCTTGCTTATGTTGGGAAATTAGTTAACTGTCAACGTCCAACTGTGATATGAGACAACTGCACATATCCTGTTCTGTTGGTCAGTTAGTGACATATTTACTATCCTGTTCCTCATCTGGCCTGACTACAGACTTCCGGACTCTTTATATTAACCCCTGGTTCAAATGGAAAGTGATGCCTTTGAAAAGTTAAAACATAATTTGGGGTTTTGCTGGCAGTAAGGCTTTTGAGATTATTGAATTATTTGTTTCTTTGCTTTGCCAAACAGCTCTTTACCTTTTCCAGACATTTCTTTCAGTTATTGGTTGTGATTACATTAGTCATTTGTGGATAAAATCCTTGTTTTTTGTTAGACTTTACTATTCCTCTACTGTCTCAGTGAATTTCACGGTCACTGTTTATTGTGAAATAAAACCTGATGAAAGAGATGAATCTAGGACACATATTGATGAGCAGAAGATGCATTGTAATGAATCGATCCCCCAAGCTCCTTTGAAAGTTCCTCATCAACAAGGATTGCTTTGATTGATGATTAAACAGCATTCCAGCCTGGCCTCAGTAACACCAATTAGCAACTGTCTGAATACTAACTACAAGGCTAAACTTGTTGAATAGAAAGCTGCCAAACATTACCATCCTAATACTGTCACGTAGCGGATTCTCACTGTGTCGTGAGCATGGCTTCACGTCCTTGTGGCAGGCATTTAATTTTCCTCACAAAAATTCTACTTTTCCATTCTGTATGGGATTGATAAGCAGAACAAAATCAAAAGCATGGAGAAATTTTACAAGAATCTTGTCTGTGCCAATGAAGCAGTGTCAAAATACAGAAATGATCAATTCTGTATCAAATTGATATTTGCACAGAACTGCATTTTGGGGGGTTTTTGCCGAAAAGAGATATAGCATTTGTTTGTTTGTTGCAGGGCTCTAATTGAGCTAGTATATGCTATTTTTGTCTAAAAGATGTCAGCCTCTTTTGCAAAACTTCACAAAGCTGTGAAAACTAAGGTTCTTGTGAAAGGCTTTGAAAAGTGATTGATTGTATTTTTCAACTGATCATGGAGAAAGTTATGTGAGAAAAATCTGTGGGAACCCTGAAAGAGAAGTCATTCTCTATACTCCCTCTGGCCATGCATAAAACACAAATTAAGCTGGCACTGTGTAAAGCTTGTTACATGCTCCACAAGAAGCGGGAAATTTGTTGACGTTCTCAAGGTGGAAAGAACAAGAGAAAAGTTTGTTTTGCCAGAGTTTTCATACTTCGCAAGGAACTCCCATCCACTGTAACTTACATCAAACACAAAAAAGAAAATGCAACAGCAACGGCAAGACAGAGGCCTTTTTCAGATTGACGGGGAGAGCAAAATGCTTCAAATTACCTGGAAGGTGTATTATCCATTACACAATAGATCACTGTACATATTTCTGCACCTGAAATAAAGGAGGACATTTGTGACTCAAAAACAAAAGGGGAAATCATCTCCACTCTTCTTACCTATAAGAACCGCCATTCAAATCCTGCTCCATCATAAAACTGGTCTATGACATGCTGCAAAAAAAGGTTCTGCCCATCTGTGTTTAAAACCTGTTGGGAGGACCCCCCACCCCCAGACACTGTTGAGAGAACAAGATGAATAATTTTGCCCTCTTAACTATAAAAGAAAGAACAATATTCTTGCTTTTCATGGTGTATGAAACAAGCTCAAGATTCTTTCCCCTGACTAGTAACCATGCTTGCTTTAAATTCCCAACAAATCGCACTAAAGTTTTACGACGCCACACAAATAAAGTATTCTGCCACAGCCTCAGAGAACTCCATCACTACAGGTGCTGGTCATAAAATTAGAATATCATGAAAAAGTAGATTGATTTCAGTAATTCCATTTAAAAAGTGAAACTTGTATATTATATTCATACATTACATACAAACTCATATATTTCAGATGTTTATTTTGTTTAATTTTGATGATTACAAATGACAACAAATGAAAATCTCAAATTCATCATATCAGAAAATTAGAATATTGTGAAAAGGTTCAAAATTGATGGCCCCTGGTGCCACACTCTAATCAGCTAATTAACTCAAACCACCTGCAAAAGCCTTTAAATGGTCTTTCAGTCTAGTTCTATAGGCTACACAATCATGGGGAAGACTGCTGACTTGACAGTTGTCCAAAAGACGACCATCGACACCTTGCACAAGGAGGGCAAGACACAAAAGGTCATCGCTAAAGAGGCTGGCTGTTCACAGAGCTCAGTGTCCAAGCACATTAATAGAGAGGCGAAGGGAAGGAAAAGATGTGGTCGAAAAAAGTGTACAAGCAAGAGAGATAACCGCACCCTGGAGAGGATTGTGAAACAAAACCCATTCAAAAATGTGGGGGAGATTCACAAAGAGTGGACTGCAGCTGGAGTGAGTGCTTCAAGAACCACCACACACAGACGTATGAAAGACATGGGTTTCTGCTGTCGCATTCCTTGTGTCAAGCCACTCTTGAACCACAGACAGCGTCAGAAGCGTCTTGCCTGGGCTAAAGAGAAACAGGACTGGACTGCTGGTGAGTGGTCCAAAGTCATGTTCTCTGATGAAAGTAAATTTTGCATTTCCTTTGGAAATCAAGGTCCCAGAGTCTGGAGGAAAAGAAGAGAGGCACTTCATCCACGTTGCTTGAAGTCCAGTGTAAAGTTTCCACAGTCAGTGATGGTTTGGGGTGCCATGTCATCTGCTGGTGTTGGTCCATTGTGTTTTCTGAGGTCCAGGGTCAACGCAGCCACATACCAGAAGGTTTTAGAGCACTTCATGCTTCCTGCAGCTGACCAACTTTTTGGAGATGCAGATTTCATTTTCCAACAGGACTTGGCACCTGCACACAGTGCCAAAGCTACCAGTACCTGGTTGAAGGACCATGGTATCCCTGTTCTTAATTGGCCAGCAAACTCTCCTGACCTTAACCCCATAGAAAATCTATGGGGTATTGTGAAGAAGAAGATGCAATACACCAGACCCAACAATTCAGAAGAGCTAAAAGCCACTATTAGAGAAACCTGGGCTATCATAACACCTGAGCAGTGCCACAGACTGATCGACTCCATGCCACGCCGCATTGCTGCAGTAATACAGGCCAAAGGAGGCCCAACTAAATACTGAGTGCTGTACATGCTCATACTTTTCATGTTCATACTTTTCAGTTGGCCAACATTTCTATAAATCCTTTGTTTTTATTGGTCTTCAGTAATATTCTAATTTTCTGATATGATGAATTTGAGATTTTCATTTGTTGTCATTTGTAATCATCAAAATTAAACAAAATAAACATCTGAAATATATGAGTTTGTATGTAATGTATGAATATAATATACAAGTTTCACTTTTTAAATGGAATTACTGAAATCAATCTACTTTTTCATGATATTCTAATTTTATGACCAGCACCTGTACATTTATTAGAACAACAGCTACAAGAAAAAATACTGTGTAATTGGATTCTTGCAGCCTCGGAAGAGGTAATTTGTCACTTTATGCAGAATGGTATAGCCCAGGGTTCCTCAGTTCCAGACCTTGAGGTACAAGCACCTTTTAGATATATCTGTTCTTTAACACCCTTAACTCAAATCAGATCTTTAGCAGAAATCTGGAGAACTTCACTGCATAATGGGTAGGAAATTAAGCCATTAAATTTAGGTGTGGAAGTAGAGGCACATCTAAAAGGTTCAGGACCCCGGACTTCAGGGACCATAATTGAGGAACCCATGTGTTGCCCCTTAATCTGCTACCAACTGGCCCCAGGGCCTGCAAAATTGATGAAGCAGATATTTAAAAAAACACAGTTTCTTAGTTGGCAACCACCTGCCACAAATGTTGTTTCAAAAACAGCTAGAGTTAGTGAAAGAGTACATAAATTACAGCTTTATATGTTTTTTAAAAGAGGCTTTAAAAAAAATCTGATTGACTGACCAAGTAATAATGAACATTTTCATCCTGGCTGATTATAAATGTGAAGACTCACATATAGTGAGTATATATATATATATATATATATATATATATATATATATATATATACTAGCTAAATAAAGACAAGCATTGACCAAACCAAACCAGCTGAGGAAAATAATATCCACAGCACCTCAGTGTCTTCAGGGATATGGGTGTTTGAAAGGATCTGATTGTTCTGCTGATTATTATCAGAGGGTTTCCCATCACAGTTTGATAAATTGACATGAAAATTGTCTACCTCCAGCCAGCACTTGTGAAACACAAGGGGCTTGATGCATAAAACTGTGTGTGGATTACTAACCAAATGGTTTTAGGTGCCTAGAAATGCATGCACATGCCCCCCCTTTTTTTTTCAAACATACTAAATAAGTCTTAGTTATATTCCAACCTTTACCAATAAATAAAAGTATATTCTACAATCCATCATTTGCATATAAAAATAACAATTTGCTTCACAAGTCTTTGGGACACATCAATGAACGCAACTTCTAAAAAAAAAATAATAATTTTTAAATGTTAATGGTAAGACTCTTCTTTTTACTTGTGGTAATCAATAGGTTGGGAATATTTTCACAGCCCATTCTTCCTTTACAAGTTGTAGTAAGTTGGGAAAGCAAGGCTACCCATGATTTTTGTGCTCACACATTGTTTATGCGTCCAGCCCCTTGTGTACGCTTGATAAGCACACTTCTGTTTGTTCTCATTGTGCTCCTTTCTGAAACAACTTGAATCAGCTCTAAAGAGTTGACCCAGATATGTTGAAAGATGTCGTTTTGGTGAAGTCCAAGCCTTTTGTCCTCGATTCATCCGGTAAATTTCCGCCCACGGCAAAGCCTCACAACTGTTAATTGGTTTCACTCTCTCTCAAGTCATTGTACGTTTTTATAAGACCAATCATCCTGGGAAAAAGGCTTTTGAAACTAAGCTGGACAATGAAATGATTCTCTCACAGATTATATATCTTATTCAATATCTGTGGGATGTGGATAATCATGGGTATGTCTTATGTTTTACCATTATCAAGGAAAGCATGTTATCCATACTGGGATATATCTTTCCTCTTAATGAAACAAGTTGGAAAAAAAAGTTGGACTGACTTATCGCCAGTCTCTCAGACATTTCTTTGGGTTGTTGTCCTTTTTCTCTTGCAGAAAACCCCGGACAGGCAAAGGCCTAAAGAGAAAGCGAAAGAAAAACCGTGACAAAACAATTCACGATGCGTATGTCAGCTCCGCCTTCTCCACCTACCTGCACCTGAGTGTTGCGCTTCTCACAATTAAGCTAATTTGGGAGGAGCTTTTTTGCCCCTTTTAATTTATACCATTTAATTGAGCCAACAGCCGTATCAACTAGCATGTCGCTTTCGTGTACTGTTCTAACTTTGTCTCGTCAGTCATGCTATCCATAATTCTTAAAAAATTTGTCTGAGCTGGCCTGTCGGCCAGGTACTATTGCTAATGTGTTTTTTACAAAAACTTACATATAAAACACTCAATAAAGAGTTTGCAATATCCATTCTTGTTAAAGATGAGCCATATAACCCATCTCAATATCTAAAAAAACACTAACCAATCTCAGTGAAATTGCTTGCAAGTTTATTCCCCCCGCAACCCCATATTTATGAAAAAGACTGGACCAATGATTGGGATCAGATTCAGCAGCCAAAATTGGAGGATCAAACAACTTTTCCATTGGTTGGATAAAAAGATTAATTGGAGAAGCTGGGATAAATTGATCTGAAATGTTAGCTGTAGCACAGGCCTTTTCCTAGAAAAGATCACAGATCCACCAGCATGACTTTGGAGACCTGCCCACACTATTCTGTTATCTGTGCTGGGATCAGCAAGACTGTAATCATGGTCCTGTCTTCAGTGTTGAGTCTGTGCCTCTTTGCTGTGTCTCTTTGCCTCTCTCTGTTCTTTTCATCTTATAAAACAGTCTCTTTGTTGTCCTCAGCTTTATGCTGGTACTATTTATGTAATGTGAAGACATGAATGATTACTATCTATTGACTTTTTCCCTTTTTTTTCTTAAGTTTCTTCAGCAAGTACTGTTTTTGTTTCTTTGTTTACCTACTTTTGTGTCTGAGACTGTGAAAGTACTCATATTTTTTTTTCAAAAACTAATATAAAGATGACCTCATGTATCTTCCGTGCAGATGTTTTTGAACATATTCTGTCTGTATGTTCATTCGTTATTTGTATATTGATGAAAATGGAATTTCTGGGTCTAATCCCGAAATGTAATTTAAACCTATTTCCGCCTCTGTTTTGAAACTCATGTCTATCTGTGGGAATCACGGTTTTCCATTTCACTCAATAAAATGAAAAATTTTCTTAATGGTGCACAAAACAGACCCTTGAGTCTTCTTTATCAGAAAAGTGAGAGCAAGAAGTGTTCTGTCATTAACCTGCAGCTCAGTGCTGTTATGTCATTCTGTTTTGCATGACGTGGTCTAGAGCTTCACTCACTGCATGTCTAACCAAACTTTTTTGTGATGGTTCATTCAATGTGGAAGGGATGGGAGGTCAGGTGTTACTTTTAAAGCTTGCTTTTTTTTTTCTTGCTTGCTCTGTGGGAACCTGTGAGCAATAATTCCCAAGTATCACATGCAGGGATTCCTGGTAATACCTTAAAGGAACAACTGGGGCATAAAAAGTGCTTGAACTTAGGGCGACCTGTCATAGGTGGAAACCATACCCTGTTATAATCTGCCTCTCCCTCTTCCTCCCCATCTCTGTCTTTGTCTCTGTCTGTCCAGTGTCTGTGAACCATGTTGTGATAACTGCTCAGAGAGGAGAAAGCGTTTGTTTGTGCAGGATCCTTCAACCTGCCGGTGCTCCTGCAAACACACAGTTGAATACTGTAAAGAACGCCAGCTAGAGCTCAACGAGAAGACCTGCAAGTAAGCGCTGCTGCTTTAGCTGAAGTCAACCTTTCCAAGTTGTCTTTAAAACAAACTAGAAAACATAGATTGCTTTCTAATAACCCAACTAACTTTACATTCAGCTGTGCAACTTATAAGCAGCTACTTTATTTGGCTTGTCGCCCCTTGTTTTCATTGGATGCAGTTACATCGTATTTCCGGTGATCTGTACCATCCATCTTGCGGTTTCATATCACGCCCAGTAATCATTTCAGAAGTATAGAATTGAGGTCACTAGACTGTGCAGGTTGAATAAGTTCAAGCTAAATATCACATTTCTGTTTTAGGATATGAAATAACTTGCCCCTTGCTTTCTACCGCTGAAACTCCTGCAGGTAATTTGAACAATCTGTCCTCTCTGGTGTTTCTTTTTATTTTAGAATAAGTAATCAATGTTTTCATGTAATATGCGGTCAACATTCACATCTAAGGCCTATATCAGTGAGGATTCGGCTAAAAAGGGCCCATAGATGGAATTGTCCAAATAAAGCGTCAGTTGCCTGTTTATAATAGGCTGACTGCAGGGAAGGAATAGAGAAAAGTGGAACAGAAATGAATCCTAATGGTGTTTCACAATTTACAAGAACTTTACCTACATTGGCTTCCTTACTAGCTTTGCAAATATGTTTGCCTTTAATTGACACAAGAGGGTCTCATACAAGAGGCTTATTGTCATCCGGTGGTACTTAGTACCATTCCAGCCTGAGAAAAATCCATTACAGCGCCCACAGTCACGTTAGCAAAAAGAGGACGCTCCCAACTACTTAATCTCTGCATCGATGATTAGATATGTCAGCTAAATTCCACCAATCTAGAGTTATTCAAGTCTGCGGGAAGATTTAATTTTAAAACTTCCCTAGAGTTTAGATACCTTTTCCAATTCTGACTTTTAAAAGTATTTCAGCAAGTAACTGCCTGCAAAGATCCTACTAATTCAAAGTTGGACTAATCCACACAAAAGTGGATCCATCCAACCGTCACAGAGATACATTGCAACTGCACCTGGTGTTAACAAGGGGTTTTAGACTTTGCATTAAAGTAAATCATTCTTCGTGTGTTGCATGGGATCTTCTTTTCTGCATCTTCATATTTCTTGTATCATCTTTATAAGTCTTCTACCTTAAAGGGAGTAACATTTCTGAATAGTTTTTGATAAGAAGTGACAAAACCTGAAAATCAAAAAATAACAAGGTTGAATCTGCAACAAAGCACTAAATATGCAGCTTTTCAGAATGTTCACAGAAACATTTAAGGACCTCAAATCAAATAACGTCATTGTCATGGTTTTTGTGGTCACACATAGCAACATGGGGTGTTCACATCTGATGTCTTGTAGTTCTAGTGTTGTTTGGAATAGATTCAAATTGGTTCTAAAGTTGATATAAATTGCTAACCTGTTAATGAGATGTGCTAAAAATTGTAGGATGCTATCTGAAATAAGGTCTTGCTTGTCTGGCTTGTGTTGTGGATTAGTTCATTTGACAGAGTTGGAAAGTTATTGCATTCCATTGGTAAATTACAGCTTAATTTTAAAAGACGGGGAGCTAAGTTGTGATCAGAAAATAGCCAGGCAGCAGCTGGCACGTTGATTATGACTAGTTACTGTTCTGGTTGGTTAAAGTCAATCTTAACCTATATCACAAAATTGGATTATCTGCAGGGCTACAGTTTATTTTTTCTCATGAGCTATTATGCCATTATGAGGAAAATTCTTGGCATCATATAAATGCATAAAATGTGATTTTCAATTCCTTTATTCCCAAATATGTTATTGTCAGGTCCTGGGACCTACCACATGCAAAAGGCTCCATCCATTGCTTAAAACCAAAAAATAACTGTTGCAACTGCTCAGCAAGTTGTTACAGCTATAAAATGCATTTTAGCTGCAGGAGATGCAAGCTTGTGAGGCATCGCCAACTTTCACTTTCGGTTTATTTTTGTGTACACATGTAACACTCTAGTGAAAGTTTTTTTCTTCCTGTTATTGTTCTACAGCTATGCTGTGCTGTAATTGGTTTTACTCATAATCTTTTTTATTCTTTGTCTCTTCCTATTCAGATGTGACAAGCCGAGGAGATGAGAGAGGTGCCAGCACCAGATGTACAAGATGAAGGAACATTTTAAAGATATTTCAAAGCACAGCACTTTGACCTTTATACCCTAAGCTCTTTTCTGTGGAAAGCATTCCCCCTGCATGGACAGTACAAAGAGAAAGACTGAAGTTTCCTCCCTCTGTATATCTGTGTGTATATAGATAATATCAAAAGAAAAAAAGTACAGATTTGTTATGCTGCTACAAAAACAAACAACTAAAACCCATCATTTGACTAAAAGCGGAGTAGCCGTCATGTGGTTTTGCGTTTCTAATAGGCTTTCGATGCAGATGATGTCTAATTGTCAATTCATTGTATGCGATTACTTCACTGGATTTGAGTCTACTGTGGTTATACATCAGTCATAACAAGCAAAACCTCTAGATATATTTAACTTCTAAAACAGTGGGTGAGACTGAAGAAGACATGGGTGTGCTCTGCTTTTTTAATATGATGGTTGGACTTTCGTTGGCTGACGCTTATGGAATGAAAAGACTGGACAAATGGGACAACGGATGGAAAACTGTCTCTGCTCAAGATTGCTTCCCTCTGAGGACATTGCAGGACTTGCAGACTTTCACATTTCAATGTTGCGTTGCTCAGGGGGGGGGGGACTCTGGAATGATGGTGCCATATACTTTCAAAGGGATACTGGTCGATGATATAGCATTTAATATTTTACAATGTTCTACAAGAAAACCACTGAAAAATCCTATATACTGTAGATTGATTCCATTTGAACTGTGCCTCACTCAATGTACTGAGAAATCCTGAGTGGTTTTTAAATTATTTTTTTTTTTGTTTTCTTTGCGGAAGAGGAGATTGTTAAAGTTTTCTTTATTGAACACACTATCATTGATTAGACATCTTGTCTGAACATGTACATAGATATCCCTTCGTGCCATTGTTCATTCTAGATAATTTATAATGTTATAGATTATTTTTCAGTATTCAGTCTTGTAAACATATTTAATTTGGTCTATTTATGTATGCTGTGTTATGTACTTGTAGCTGTCGTTTTTTTTTTTTTTTTTTTTCATATGTGTAAGGTCACTGATGGCTACTTTCACCATGGCTCTCAAGGCTTTTCTATAAAACAAGTTTAAAAAAAAAAATCAAAAATATATTAACATTCCCTTAATTAATTTTATGTGGACTGCCTTACCAATGACATCTCTATTTGAACCCCTTTGCAGGGATGAGTGCCATGTAGGGTTTTAACTTTTGAGAGTGTGTCTACTGTATGAATGGGTGTACTATTTTTAGCAGCTAAGTATACAATACCACAATACAACCACAAATATGAAATTGGATCTCCATTCTGACCGCCATCAGTCAGAATTTCTATAAGATATTTTTGTGTCCTCTACACTATTAACATGTTTTTGTGTCTATGTAAAGCAGTAAAGGATATTTATTTTAAAATCATGTTGTTTTTATATAAAATAAGGAGAAGGTTGCAGTGTTGAGAATGCTGTATTTTCATCTGGGGTAATTAGTCAACAGTGTGAGGATTTTTCTTTCATGAAACAAAGTGTTACTTATACAAATACTTGGATTCTTTGTGCGAATGTTATGTAAAAGAGCAAAAAAAAAAAAAGAAAAAATAGATTCCTGCACCCATTTAATGACCGACAGACATTCAGCCATGTGAATAAACACGCACTTTAACCAAGTGTACAGTAATTTAATCTGTTCAATTTGATTACAATTTTGCAGTGCAAATTAAGCATAAAACAAAGTTAAACCCAGTTGTCAAATCATTTCTATCTGACAAGTGTATACCAATTTATTGGGTGAGCCTATATTCCATCTTCTAACAAATTGTAACCCAAGGATGCAATTCCATGCAGCTAGGCACCTACAGATGCTGAGCACATCTTGCTGAGGGTTAACCTGAGCAGTAGAACGTGGGAAACTATTATTTAAGTAATTCTTATCAATTGTAGCTCTGAATGTTGGTGCAAGAGAGGATGATCGAAGAATTTGGATTTTAACATGGAAATATCTCCTTGCTATGCTGAGAATGGTTTGACAATGTCCAATGTGTCAAGAAAAATTAATGGCAAAAACAAGTAAGAAAATTTAAAAACCCTGTCTTTGCAAATTTTTCAAGTGAGTAGACATGTCTACAAGATCTGCATATTCTAGGCATAGACATTTCAGAGTAAACAGCTTGAAGATTTTGTTGACACTGCACGGATCCAGGAACTTTCTGTCTTCCTGCTTAATCATTTTTTGTCTTCTGCATTCTGGTTCAATGTTGATATTTTTGATAAACAGAAGATTATCACTTTAAACAGACTGACTGCTACATTACAAACATCAAATAATATCAGGTTCACTCCAAGTTCGCCGTCAATGACCTTCCAATTTATCTGATTTTTCTAATGCTATAATATCCAGAATTTTGTTTTTTGTTTTATGGTTATTGCTGTTTATTTTGCTAATGGCATAGTGGACTACTTTTGTTTACTTTTCTAAACCCTGTGTACAAACAGTTTTATAGTGTGAGCTTTGTACTCAAAAACCAGATTTTCTGAGGAGACATACGAAAGAACATCCCCTAAAACTACAATAACAGCTGGGAAAGAGATAACCAAGCTTCTCCTCCAACTTAAGTAACCAATATGGCTGCAAAGCAAATAAGAATAAATGTTGGTACACACAGCTTAGTGGAACAGATGACATACTCACTCACTGAAATAGAGTTTTGCAAAATATTGTACTTTTTATTTAGTAACCAGGTTGCTTAAGTGTTTAAATCAAATGCAGAAATTTGAACCCTGTCCTTATATTAAACCACAATAATTAGAAAATCTCACAATTTTTTCAACTGGCAAACAGATAATGACCAGCTCAAGTAAAAAATTGGTGAGAGTTTCGTGCTAAAAATTTCAGTAAAAATTACTTGGGCTGGCACTAGCCCTTGTAGGATTTCTCTTTGTTTGATTCAAATAGATCACCTTGTTTTATAGTAGGTAAAAGCCCAACAGTAAAGGTTGGTCATTTCACATGTTGGTCTTTTCATGTCTATGTACCTTGGGTCCTTCTTACTGGCCAAATCATTCTCACTACTGGAGTATTTCTTATCTGCTTTTGGAATCAATGATTCATTCAATCAAAATCTGAAAGTCACAATTAATCTCAATGGGAAATTAGATGTTGTACTTCTCAAAGTCTTTTTGCAACACCTGTTGTATGTTAATACATGTTGGAAGGAAGGATCTGCTCCAGGAAAAGCTTTTGACAGAGGACGCTGTTGTTGTTAAACAGTACAATGCGGAATATGCTGAGGGTTATCCATCATTTTCTCCATCAATCGTCCGCCACTTATCTGGCAGGTTCATAGGGAAGTGATCTTTATCTTCAGCAAACTATACACTCTGGACGGGTCGCTAGTCCATTGACAACCAGACAACCATTTCCATACACACATTCACACAATGATGTGTCACACTATCCTTGTGAGGACTTTTCATTGACTTCAATGCATTTCCACTCATTTGCATGGCCTAATACATTTTTCTAATTCTATAACCCTTACCCTAACCCTAACATTACCAATACATGCCTAACCCTAAACCTAACCTAAACTCAATTCACACCTTAGACCTAAACTTAATCCCCACTCGAAGAAGAGAACCTTTCCTCATTGGGACCAGGTGTTGTTCCCCATAAGCACCTATACAGTAGTAGCCATTCAAATTTCCACACTTATCTTGATGGGCCCTTGGCTGGTCCTTGGCTGTTCCCCTAAGATTTATTTTTTAAACATCAATCTTTTTACTAAAATATTCTTTCTGTGGACATTAAGATCTAAAGAGAAGCGCTTTCTCCTGGTCAGACCCTGTAATTCAGTAAGCGGGTGGAGTCAGAGTAAAAAAATACACATGCCCAGGAGAAGGAGGGGGTAAATCCACTGACTGGAATTTGGCTGCCATTCGGCTGGCATTTGACTGGGAAGGGCCATTCGGAATGGCTGCTATTGTAGGTCCCCAAAAAGAGCATATTCCTGGGAAATGGTCCCCACAAGGTAACAAAAATATGGGCACACACACCTACAGGCAATTTAGAGACTCCAATTTACCTAGCCTTTGGGGTTTTTCCACTTTGGGAGAAAGCCAGAGTACCCGGAGAGGACACATGCATGGATAAGGAAGAATATGCAAACTCCATGCAGGAAGAACCAATAGGCTCCTTCTCTCCTTAAGTCTCTCAAACTGTTGTCTGTTTGTCAGATAGTCTTTAAACCAGATTTTTGATGCCTAAACCAAATCTGGAGTTTCTAACCAAGTAAATCATGCTTAATCCTATGAAATTCACTTGAGAAATCAAAGCGCATAATCCTTTCAGTGATGTCTGCCTTGTTTAAATGATACTAGGTTTACTGAAGCATGTGAATGATGGCATCTTCAACTCCAAACTTGCAGGCGGGTCCTGGTAGCTGCGTCTTTGATTGTCCAGGTGGGCCAACAGGAATCTCTCTAGGATCTTCACAATTTTGAATGTCAGGACCCTAGCTCTATCTTAAACAAGGACTGTTGGTGGAGGGGATTTTTTGGGTTCTAGGACAAGGCAGGCGGTCTTCTACAATGTTAGAACAATCTCCTTGTTCAGGCTAAAGATGTATATATATATATATATATATATATATATAGTTTAGTAGGCACTGTAGTATTTCACAGAGCTGCTTTGCAAAGGCCTTTAGGACTTAGGCTAAAACCACCTGGGCCTGATGACTTTTTAAAATTTAACTACTTCTGCAGATAACAGAACCCCCGGAAAGCTGCTGGACCAGATTCTGTCACTCCATCCACTTTGAAGCTCTGTGCTGACCAGCTGTCTCCAGTGTTCACAGACATTTTTAACACCTCACTGGCGACATGTCACGTGCCAGCCTGCTTTAAATCCTCCACCATCATCCCTGTCCCCAAGAAGCCAAGGACCACAGGACTTAATGACTTTAGACCCGTCGCCCTGACCTCTGTGGTCATGAAGTCCTTTGAGCGTCTTGTGCTGTCACACCTGAAAGAAATCACGGACCCCCTCCTGGACCCCTTTCAGTTTGCCTACAGAACCAACAGGTCTGTAGATGACGCTGTCAACCTGGCCCTTCACCACATTCTCCAGCACCTGGACTCCGCAGGAACCTATGCCAGGATCCTGTTTGTGGACTTCAGCTCGGCCTTCAACACAATCATCCCAGCTCTGCTCCAGGAGAAGCTCTCCCACCTGAATGTGCCTGACTCCACCTGCAGGTGGATCACAGACTTCCTGTCGGACAGGAAGCAGCACGTAAAGCTGGGAACACAGTTCTCTGACTCACAGCTCATCAGCACTGGTTCCCCCCAGGGCTGTGTTCTTTCTCCTCTGCTCTTCTCCCTGTACACCAACAGCTGCACCTCCAGTCATCAGTCTGTCAAGCTCCTGAAGTTCGCAGACGACACCACTCTCATCGGACTGATCTCCGATGGTGATGAGTCCGCCTACAGGTGGGAGGCTGACCATCTGGTGATCTGGTGCAGGGAGAACAACCTGGAGCTCAACGCTCTAAAAACAGTGGAGATGGTTGTGGACTTCAGAAAGAGCGCAGCCCCAGCTACCCCCATCACCCTCTGTGACTCCACCATTGACACTGTGGAGTCTTTCCGCTTCCTGGGAACTATCATCTCCCAGGACCTAAAGTGGGAGCTGAACATCGACTCCCTCACCAAGAAAGCTCAGCAGAGGATGTACTTCCTGCGGCAGCTGAAGAAATTCAACCTGCCCAGGACAATGATGGTGCAGTTCTACTCCTCCATCATTGAGTCCTTCCTCACTTCCTCCATCACCATCTGGTACGCTGGTGCCACCGCTAAGGACAAGAGCAGACTGCAGCATGTCATCCGGTCTGCAGAGAAGGTGATTGGCTGCAACCTCCCATCTCTCCAGGAGCTGCACGCCTCCAGGACTCTGAGGCGTGCAGGGAAGATTGTGGCTGATCCCTCGCACCCCAGTCACAAACTATTTCAGCCACTACCCTCTGGCAGGAGGCTGCGGTCCATCAGGACCAGAACCTCCCGTCACAAAAACAGTTTTTTCCCATCTGCTATCGGCCTTATCAACAAGGCCAAGAGACGCCCGTGACACTGGACAATGTTTCTCTCCCCCATTCAGGATTTCTGCGTTACATTAACACACAGTCTACTGTTTCTATATAGCTTCTGTGTATATATATATATATACAGTGTTGTGCCTGAACGCGTTCAATGAACGAAAGTTCATGAACTCGTTCATATTTTGGGCGAACGTGAACTGAACGTACTGCATTATTGCCTGATGAACGTTATTGTGAACTCGTTCATTCTGGCGTCTGTGAACGGCACGCTCTCTCAGTTCAACTCCGTTCAATAGGTTGCCAGATTTCTATAGAGCCCTCCAGGCGAAACCCCGGCTAAATCACACCGTAAACAGGCCTTAATATGTAGCGGGAAAAACACCCAATCTGGCAACAGGAGCTACCAGTGTCGTAGCCTACAGCCGCGTGCGTCATCAAAACAAAATGCAGCGTGGAAGCCACAGCAGCATGGAGGCGACTTAAAACAGGTTTATGACCAGGTGGTCAGTGAGGATGATGGCAACAAGTTTGCCCGCCGGCTTTCAGTAAAAAAATCCGCACTTCAGTAACCTTAAATTCCTACCTCAGCCTGGTCCCTCAGTTTGTGTTAGTAAAATCTTCTTGAGCGGAGGTCTTCAACAGGGGATCCGC